TTAAATTGTCAATAAGAATGCTATATTACAAGAACTGTAACATTAAAATCTGTGAACTAATAAATGATTTTACATGTAATTTATAATTGTAGTTACTTTGTTTTTAATATAGTTCTTTGTATTTGTATGCTGATAACAAAGGATGTATTATGTAATAAATCTTATTATATATGTTAGTTTTCTCCGTGTAAAAATAATAAAATAATCTATCTGTACCAGGTAAACGTCCGTTTGGTGTATCTCTATTGTATATGGGTTGGGATAGACATTATGGTTTTCAGTTGTATCAGAGTGATCCTAGTGGAAATTATGGAGGTTGGAAAGCCACCTGTATTGGTAATAATAGTGCTGTAAGTTTTTACCCAATTCTTTTAATCCTTTTAATCAGCTCATTCTTCATTCTTATTTACTCTTTAAACACAGAATATAAATTAAAATAAAACAACATATACGGGTACTAAAAATTAAAAATAACTTAAAGGGGACAGTCAGCATTTTCAGGGATTAATTTGGGTCTTTATTGTGCTTTAATAGTCCTAAGAAGTACTAGAACTCACAAAAATTGCATAATTCCTTCAAATATACCTCAAACTGGAACGTGAATAATTATGGATACACACGGATTTGAAGGCTATGCGTTGTGAACAGTATTATTGATTATGTAAGCTAAAAAAAATTCCTGTTTCTGAAACTAAGGTATGATTGGTCGAACTGATAGTGAAGGGGGTCCTTTAAAGCAAATGAATTCCTATTTTAACACACCAGCCTTAACAATAGTGAAATTATCCTTGTGCCAGTGCTTTCTGCTGAAAAGTATCTTACCTTTCAACCAACCTAATCTCTACAATTAATGAACGCTGCTTTAACCCTGGGCCAGTACCTTCTGTTGAATAGTAACTTGTTACCTTTCAACCGCCCTAATCTGTACAATTAATGAACACTGCTTTAATCCTGGGCCAGTACCTTCTGTTGAATAGTAACTTGTTACCTTTCAACCGCCCTAATCTCTACAATTAATGAACACTGCTTTAATCCTGGGCCAGTACCTTCTGTTGAATAGTAACTTGTTACCTTTCAACCACCCTAATCTCTACAATTAATGGACACTGCTTTAATCCTGGGCCAGTACCTTCTGTTGAATAGTAACTTGTTACCTTTCAACCACCCTAATCTCTACAATTAGTGAACACTGCTTTAATCCTGGGCCAGTACCTTCTGTTGAATAGTAACTTATTACCTTTCAACCAACCTAATCTCTACAATTAATGAACACTGCTTTAATCCTGGGCCAGTACCTTCTGTTGAATAGTAACTTGTTACCTTTCAACCGCCCTAATCTCTACAATTAGTGAACACTGCTTTAATCCTGGGCCAGTACCTTCTGTTGAATAGTAACTTGTTACCTTTCAACCGCCCTAATCTCTACAATTAGTGAACACTGCTTTAATCCTGGGCCAGTACCTTCTGTTGAATAGTAACTTGTTACCTTTCAACCAACCTAATCTCTACAATTAATGAACACTGCTTTAATCCTGGGCCAGTACCTTCAGTTGAATAGTAACTTGTTACCTTTCAACCGCCCTGATCTCTACAATTAGTGAACACTGCTTTAATCCTGGGCCAGTACCTTCTGTTAAATAGTAACTTGTTACCTTTCAACCACCCTAATCTCTACAATTAGTGAACACTGCTTTAATCCTGGGCCAGTACCTTCTGTTGATTAGTAACTTGTTACCTTTCAACCGCCCTAATCTCTATAACTTTGGAAAAGGTGTCAACAGATATTTATAATGTATTTTGTTGATATTTTAGAATGCTGTATCAATGTTAAAACAGGAGTATAAGGAAGGGGAGACCAATCTACAGGAGGCCCTGGCATTATCTATTAAAGTT